CATTTTTATTTTGGGATTCCTATTTTCCTTGTTGCCAACCCTGCGGGTCCTTCAGCTGTAAAAGGTAGTCCGAGCTAGGCGTGGTGCACTCCTAGCAGCTCAGGAGGCTGAGGCAGGAGAATCACAAATTTGAGCCAAGCGGGGCCAACTTGGTGAGACCCTGCTTCAAAAGAAAGAACTGCTTGGGTTGCAGCTTGATGCAAAGGCCCTGGGTTCCACCTCTAGGACCACAGGCCCACGAGAGTGGTGGGAAAGATGGGCTTAGAGACAAAAGTCCCTGCCTCAGAATCTGAGCCACATGCAGAGTCCTCTGTTCCTGAGCAGAGTCACCTTTTAACCTCTTTCAACCTCACCACCAGCCTGACCTCCCTGAAAGGTCCAGGGAGGGTTCAGGACCTGTGTCCGTCCACCTCAGCCATGGGCCTGAGCCCAAGATAGGAGAGCTGAGAGCCAGGCTGGAGGCACCAGGCCGGGTCCAGGCCGGGGCAACGAATGTGACCCACCTTGCCCTTGGCCCTGCGCCAGGGCACAGGTTCCTCTGTTCCCAGAAGCTCATCCCCAACGGGGCTGCATGCTTGGCCTCATTAACCTCTAGCTGACCTGGAAAGAGGGAAACGCCCTGCCTCCTCCTCCCAGGAGGAAGTTGGGGGTGGAGTGGGGAAAGTGAGCCTGCCCAGGGCTGCTGCTGGCCACCAGAAATGGGGCTGGTCAGTCATGAGAAGGAAGGGTCGCCAGCAGCTTGGTTCCCAGGGTCACCCCACAGATCCAGAAGCAGGGGACGGACAGTTTAGCATCTGCACCTCCTGGAAGGACCCCCAGCCCTGCCCTCCACAGCCAGCGGCCCCTCTCTGCCCCTCCTGCAGCAGTTCTACACTTGGTTTTGGAAATGCAGGGGAAAGCTGGGTGTGGTGGTTCGCACCTCTGATCCAGCACTAGGGAGGCTGAGGCAGGAGGATCTTTGAGTTGAAGCCTCACCTGGGCAATTGAGTGAGACTGTCTCAAAAAAGAAAGGAGGGGTTAGGGCTGGGAATGTAACTCAGTATGAAGGTCCTGGGTTCAATCCGCAGTATTTTTTTTTTGTCTTTTTACTTTTTATCAGTACCAGGGATCGAACTCACGACTGCCTGCTTGTAAGGCAGGCACTTATGCCACTGAGCTAAATCCCCAGCTGCATCAATCCACAGTATTGAACTACAAGAAAAAAAAACAAAAAAGAAGGCAGGCAGGCTGACTCTTAGGCTGCCCTGCCCTAAGTCCCTCAAGTGCTCCAACTGCAGTCCTGCCCTGCTCTGACGACCCCAACTGCCCCAGCCACCTCTCTTCCCCTCACTGAGGCCTCAGGACCCAGCCACTTGCTCCTGAACAGCAGTCACATTTCTGGGTCTCACAGGTAGATTCCTCATCTCCCTCCCCTTCTCTCCACTTGCAGGGTCTGAGCCCTCTCCACACCCCCACATCCACTGTGCCGACCACACCTCTTTTCTCATTCCACCCCATGCCCAGAGGTCAGGGCTCCTGCGTGTGAGTTGCTGGGTCCTATTCCAGGTGCACATAGGTCCAGTGCTAAGGTCGGCCTCTCCGAGTCACCTCCTACTTAGGCTGGAGTCACCAGGACTGGCTGGCACGCTTGATCCCAGTGCCTGCCCCCAGGGATGGGTAGAGAGCATGCTACCAGGAGATCGACCTGAAATCATAGCCCTTGAGACTCAAATGGCCAGGAGGAAGGGGCATAGGTGGTCAGTAGAGAAGGCCACACTCACTTGGCGGGGAAGGTAGAGGGCAGATTTGGGGTCCTATGAATCCTTGGCCATGGTCCTGGTGACCCCGGGACTTTAGGCCCAATCCCTTCAGACCCCACCATGTGAGCCGGCATCCCCAGGAGGGCCCCCTCACAGAGAAGGGACCAAACACACACCTGGGTGGCAGAGGCGGGCTTCCCAGCACAGTGCACCAGAGACCTGGCCCCTGCTTCAGGGGACAGTGGATGTCCGCAGGAAGACAAGAGAGTGGGGACAATGTGGGGGCAAAGCCAGCAGGGGAGGGGGCTCCAGGCATGACCCTCTCTGTACTTATGGTGTGGGGGACTGGATTGCAACAAGTTTCCACCCTGAGTCCTCTTTTGCTAGCCTTCTTTCTGCAGTCTGTGTGTGTGTGTGCGCTGTACTAGGAGTTTTACTGAGGGTCTTTGTATTGAGCTACTTCCCTGCTCTTATTTACTCATTTATTTTTATTTTTATTTTGGTACTGGGGATCGAATTCATGACCATGCGCTTGTAAGGAAGGCATTATGCCGCTAAGCTAAATCCCCAGCCCCTATTTACTTATTTGTTTATTTATCATTTTGAGACAAGATCTCATTAAATTATCAAGGCTGAGCTTGAATTTGTGATCCTCCTGCCTCAGCCTCCCAGTGTGCTCGGATTACAGGGGTGCACAATCACAATCACACCCAGCCTTTTCACTCCATTTTGCCCTTTATCCCTACAAGGTCCAATCCTGGAACTGAGGCCAACACTGCTGTGGTCGTGTGTTTGTGCGGAAGTGGTCATGCCTGTGTCTGGGTCCGCCTAGCAGCAAGTTCCCCTGTGGCTGGTCAGGGTTAAAAATAGGGACAAGACACAGAAACACAGAGGTAGACACACAGCAAACGCACCCACAGAGGGACAGAAAGAAGCAGCAGGAGAGATGCCAGGTCCCCGACCCCTCACATCTGGTTATCAGGCTGATGTCAGAGACTCGTGGTTCCTGGAGGTCATTTCACAGCTCAGCACCATTGTCCTGAGTCTCTGTCCCCAACTTTGTCCCATGGGAGCTGGAGTGCTGGATGGGCTGCTGCAGCCACGCCCTGTGGCCAGGGGGAGGGAGGCAGTGTCTCCCTGTCTCCGCTGCCCTGGCAGAGCCACTGGCTCTGTGGCTGCCTTGGCCTGTCCCTTATGTCCCTACCTGTCACTTGTCCTCCAAGGCCACACCTTGTGCCCCTTGTGCCCCTGGCAGCTCCATGGGATGGGCTGGCTCAGATTAACAGGCAGGGGCTTTGCTGACCCCTTCCCTCAAGAGAGTCCTGGACCCCTGGACCCATAAGACCCCAGGCAAATCCTACCATGGGCCCCCGCTTTGCATCGGCTTCACTGGGTCTGGGCTGACCCCAGACAGGGACCCAGCAGATGGCCCGCATGATGGGGGCCAGGCTGTGACTGTGATAGGAGGTGGCACATGTGGCCAGGGACAGAGGCTGGCCTGGGTCTGCTCAGGGTCCAGCCTGAGGGCTGGAGGGGCAGGGCCAAGCTTGGTACTTGAGCTGAGGGGGCTTGAGGACAGGCAGAGACGACTGAGGGGCATGGGGAGGAGGGTCTTTTCACCCATGGCAGCTGGCCAAGACCCTAAAGGGACAAGGGCCAGGGAGCGGAAGTTCCTGGGGGACCTGTGACCCCCACAGAGCAAGTTGAGGCCCAATGAGAATGAGTGAAGGCCTGGATATAGGAAGGAGCTGTGGGTGTGGTGACTCCAAACAGGAAGTGCAGGAGCGGGGAGGACCCCAGCTCTGCCTTCTAAGACTGCAGTGAGGGCCGCAGGAAGCAGGTGACCTTGGCCCGTGGCTCTGGTTCCACGGTTCCAGAAACACCGGAACCATCCTCCCATTGGCACTCGGGCAGTGCAGGAGTGTGTGTCAGTCCTGGGCCGCACTTGCTGCACCCCCCCAGGCTGCCCACACCTTTGTAAAGGCTCCCAGTTGCCCTGTGGGACAGCTTGCCATCTGTTTCCTGTAAGAGCCCGGCGTACAGGATGGGCGGAAAGCTCTGTAGGGTACAGGGCACTGCATTCAAGCTTTGGCTTTTTTTCTTTAGTGGTACAGGGTATGCACTGGGCTACATCCCTAGCCTTTTTTATATTTTGTCCGGAGGCAGGCTCTGGCTAAGTTGCCCAGCTGGGCTGGCACTTTCAGATCCTCCTGCCTCAGCAGCCTTCGCTTTTTACATAAAGGGAAACGATGTAGTTTTTTCCCTGGGAGCTGGGGCAGGAAGATCATAAATTCAAGCTCAGCCTTGATAATTTAATGAGACCCTGTCTCAAAATTATAAATAAACAAATAAGAGCTGGGCTCAACTCCCAGCTTCAGGTGAGTGACCTGTTCGGGATCACCCAGCCCCAGAGTCTGGCTGCATCACTGCCCCAGAAAGGCTATGGAAGCCGGTTGTCCATACAGGTGCATGCCTGTAATCCCAGCACTCAGGAGGCTGAGGCAGGACGATGGCTGCAAGTTCAAGGCCAGCCTGGGCCGCAAAGTGAGTTCAAGGCCAGCCTGAAGTGCGTAGTAAAATCCTATCTTAAAAAGACACACACACACACACACACACACACACACACACACACAGAGCTATGGGAGGGGAAGGTTTAACTCCCACAGCAGCTGGAAGTCTTTGTTCCTGTCTCCTCCCTCCCTCTCCCAGCCAGGCTGAGCATTTATTTCCTCCGCGGCACAAGCTGGATGCTCAGATGCAGCTAATAAACTGCAGGTGCCCAGGAACCCAGCCAGCCTCTCTCCCGGAGGGCGACACCCTCTCCAGTCCTTCTCTGCCTTCTCAAGAAGCCTCTGAAGCCTCCCAGCCTCTCTGCCACCTGGTGTCACTGTCGTCCCCCAACAGTAGGGGGAGCCTGAGGACAGAATCTGCCTGGGCCAACTTGAGCCCCATGGGTGCCCTGGACTAGGTTTGGGACGGGGTTCTGCTCCGGGTTGAGTTGAGGCCTCTCTCTCTCTCTCTCTCTGGCACTGGGATTTGAATGCATGGCCTTTGGTAGGGTGACCTTCTCTCCTGGGTCACATGTTCCCCTTGGTTGAACTTCACAGTCACCCTGGGGACCACTGGGGACCACTGTTTTACAGATAGGAATGCTGTGGCCCAAAGAGAGACTGCAGTTGGTTGGGGTGACTCAGCTGGCCTTGGACCCCGCAGCTTCCCCTCAGGATGCATCCCTCTGAGAGACCAACCAGCTGTACCGTGTCACAGACAAGCAGGGGACATTTATTTCCCATAGCACTGGCCCTCACATGGAGGAAAGGGTGCGCTCTCTGGTCACTAGTGGAACTCTCTCAGGGCTCCGGACCTTGCAGGGCTTAGCTTGGCTGGGACTTTACATCCCAGAAAGAGAGGTCACCAGTAGGCAGCTGGGGGCCCCAGAGCCACTCAGGAGCCCCTCTCAGCTGCAGAGCTGCACATGTGGTGGGTGTTGTATCTCCTCATGCTCTCCTGCTCGTGGGGGCTGGAAATGCGAGTGCTCCTGCAGCTGTCAAAGCTTAGTGGGGGTGGGGGTAGAAGAAGAGAACGGTGAGCCGAGGGCCCCCTGGAAACTGAGGCTTCCCTGGACAGGCAGCATTCACAAAAAAGGAACCAGGCTGTTTCTCTAAATCTCAAAATTCTAACTCCTAGCCAGGTGTGTGGTGCATGTCTATAATCAGAGTACTCTGGGAGGCTGAAGCAGGTGGATCTCAAGTTCTAGACCAGCCTTGCAACTTAGCAATTTAAAGACCTGTTTTAAAATAAACAGGGACTGGAGACCAGGGATGAGCTCAGTGCGAAGGCATTGGTTTCAATCCCAATACTGAAAAAATTTTTTAAAAATCCATTTCCCCCGATCAAGCCTACCACAGGTTCATACAGGTTTGGGAGATGCAGGCCCCTGAACTTTTCTGGCTGCCAGCCACTCTCCTGTCCCACTGGCCCCCACATCTCTCCACTTCCCTACCATCCCCTTGGAGCTCTGGCGCTCTGCTTCAAATCCCAGCAGTAGCTAGGCATCTCCTTTCCTCCAGCAAGTTTTCTGGCCCCCACACTTTTGGGGAGTCTAGTTGGCTCTGGTCCACCTCGCTTGCAATTCCAGAGGTTGCCACCAGGAGGCGGGAGGGGCCCGCTGGGAAAGTGGCGGGGGATGGGCAGAGGGTCAAACTGAGGGGTAGGCACTGCGCCTGCGCTCCCACCAGCTCCTGGTGACTTCACAGCGGGCTGGAGGGTCGCTAGCTGAGACCTGGAAAGCTCTGGAACCTGGAGAATCTTTTGCTTCCAGGAAAACTGCTCCAGCAGGTACAGCAGGGAGGCGCTGGGCCAGGGGCTGCTGCTGGGAGGCCTCAGAGTCCCAGCCCCGCCACTCACCAGGTGTACACGAGCAAGACCAGGAGGACCACCAGGAAGATGGCCAGCAGGATGGACAGGATGGCAATGATGACCACGGTGCCCTCACTCTGGGACCCTGGGACAGCCTCGAATATCTTGGCTGGAGTCATGGTAGGCAAAAAGAAGAAATTCTATTGTGGTGGTTCACACCTTTCATTCCATTCTGGGAGGCTGAGGCAGGAGGATCAAAAGTTGGATCCCAGGCTGGGCAACTTAGTGACTTACTGAGACTGTCTCAAAAATGGGCTGGGGATGCAACTCAGTGCACAGGTCCTGAGTTTAATCCTCAGTGTAGCAGGAAAAAAAATAAATCTCATCTGACCCAAAAGAGCATCTTTGGGCAGCCTCCAGAGCAACCACCCTGCACCCAAGTCTGGGACAGGGACAAGAGGCAGGCAGGGAAGGGGCCCCTGCAGACCGTGGTGGCAATGTGCTTCTGACAGCCAGAGCTGCCCTAGTCCCCCAGGGCCCCTCTGCCCACCCTCCAGGCCCTCAGCTCCCATCCCTGCTTTGGGCTCCCCGTACCTTGCTGCAGGCGGGTCTCATCGGACCACTCGGTTTCAGCCACAGGTCCCTGGTCATTCATCACCAGAAACTTCACCCTATCGGGAGACCCAGCATTGGAAGTGGGGGTCCCAAGGTCCTGACCCCTCAACTCCCAGGCCTTGAGGAGAGCAGCCTGAGATGGGGTAGAGTTGGAGCTAAATAGCATAGCCTCACAGCCCAAAAGAAGGGCTTGGATCCTGGCTGGAGCGTCCTTCAGCTGTGTGACGGGGGTGCCTCCGTTGGCCTCTCAGGGCCTCTGTGCCTGCCTTTGGGAAATGTTGTGGATCAAGCGCTTGGTAGGGGCAGGGGCCAGGGCCGGAGCCCTGCCATGGGCTGCCCTGTCTGTAGGACGCTCCATCTGTGTGTCTGGATGGGAACTGGGGCTTGGGTCGGGGCTCATCACTCAAGAGAGATGGGAGACAGGGCATCTCAGCCTCGCACCTGTATGGTCCCGAGTCTGGCAGGGGAGGGTTGCAGCCCTCTTTCAAGGGGGAACAGTGAGTGTCATTGCCAACACGGAGGACACGGAGCTGGCTGCTGGCTGGGCTGCTCTGGTAATGCAGCCGCTGGGCTGGCAGTGTAAGGTAGTAGCCTTTCTGGGTAAAGGTGGCAGGGACCGGAATGTCCTTTGTCTTCTGTGGGGCAGTGAAGTCCTGGGTGGCTGAGGGAGGCACAGTGGGTCAGATGGTGGGGCAGCCCAGGTGGGGCTCCGGCCTCCTCCATCAGGCCAGACTGTCCTCCACCAGCCACATTCCTCCAGCACCTGCCCCCAACCCCCTCAAGCCTGCCCACCCATGTCACAGAGGGGAAACTGAGGCCAGATGCGTCACACCCACCATTACTGTAGGCCACCACCAGCCAGATGGGGTCAAAGTCAGAGATCCTGGTACGGTCGAACTGGCCCAGCGGCTGCTCCAATGTGAAGGTGGACTGGGTGACTTTCCCCGCCAGGTTGGCACCTGAGAGCCGGGGCACATAGCTGATGCGCTCTGCAGAGGGTGGGAGGGAAGAGGCTGCTCAGAGAGGGGAGACACAGATCTACTCCTGGGTCAAGTTTCAGCTACTGGACCTTTCCTTGGGGAGTCTCCTAGGAGTAGGAGGGGAGGGGAGGCCCTACCCTGTCCCTCCTGGGTCCTTGAGGTTTCCCAGGTACAAAGGTAGCAGAGATTCCTCCCCCACCTACAGTCTTGATGCTTCTGAGCTGGGGTGAGACTTGGATTTGGGGGACCCTATCATCCTGGACTCTGCTTCTCATATGCCCAGGAGCCTTAAGAGCTCCTCCCATGGTTTGCTGGATGAAGGACTTGACTGGCTTGGAAGGGGGTTACCCAAAGGTCCCCTGGCTGTTCCTCCAGGCCCAGCATGGATGAATCAGAGAGGACCAGTCGCTGTGGGGCAGAGACTGGCTCAGTCTGGGGCATTCTTCTCTTCCCTGGAAGTTCTCTGCCAGCTCGTGTCACCACCCATGAGGCCCAAGTCACCTCTCTTCAGGACACCCCCATTCCTCTCAGTCTCATACCTCTGAGGGGACTCAGGATGGGCAACACAGCCCATGTCCAGCCTCACTCCTGAACGCAGAAACCCATAGTGTCCCCTCCTCTCTCCAGCCACAAACATGGGGGAAGCAGAAAAGTGGGCTTTTATGAAGTTCAGCAACCCCCACACTCAGTTCAGCTCTGTACACTTCACTCCCATTGAGTTAACTCTGAAGATCAAGATAGAACCTTCGAGAACCTTTGAGAAACGGGGACTGATCCTTCCTTCCTCAAAGCTCTTCATCCTATCTCAGAGCCAGGGCATACTACATTCTGCAGGTACCTCATGTTTGCTTAAACCAGGGGAGCGGACGGGAGCAGCAGGGGTCGAGGTGCTGTTCTCCCTCAGCCCACCTACTTTGGGAGCTGGAGGAGGGAAGGGGCTGCTGCTGCCTCCCCTCAAGATTTCCTTGGGCCTCCTGAGCGAACTGGTCCTTACAGACTTCCTTAAACCTCTGCTCAGGACCAGGGGAGGGAGGAGGGCAGCCTCCGGCAGGAGGACCCCAGAAAGAGAGAGAAGGGACAGGGGCCGGCCAGACCTGTGACTGACGTCAGCAAGTTCTGTCCCCTCACCTACACAGGACCCAGGACCCAGTCCCCAGCCAACAGGGGCTCAGGAGGCAACAGGGGTAGGGATGTGTCTATCCTGATGTCTGCAACTTTGGGGGGACCCTCTCCCAAACCCCCAGCTTCACTCACCCACACTGGCCCCAGGCTGGACCCAGGTCAACAGCAGCCACAGTGGGGACAGAAGCAGCGACCGTCCACTGAGCCCCATGGCCGGGCGGAGCATCCAAGTACCTGTCCGCATCTGTCCTCAGATGTCTCTACAGTGTCTGTGGCCTCAGCAGCTCAGCCTGTGCTCGGCTGGGGGCACCGCCTCCGGCCCTGCCCAGTACCCCCTTCTTCCTTACGACTGGTTGGACAGGTTTGGGGGCCCCAGGATTTGGCTTCATCAGGGAGGGGTCTGATGAGAACAGTTGGTTCTGTCGGAGACAAGCCCAGACACCCCCACCTCACTCCAGGAGGGGCCGGGAGGAGGAAGTGGCCCTGGGTCCTGGCCGACCAGTGAGGGCCCGGCCACACCTGCCCTGCCTGGGGGGACAGCAGCCTGTGACTCAGGCCGGTGCAGGGTGGAAGCCTGCAGAGCCAGGCTGAGGTCCAAGCCAACGGCACAACAGCCAGATGACCTGTGATCTCTCCAGCCCCCAGCCAGCCCTGCCGGGCAGGCAGGCCCTCCTGAGTCAGGGAGGACAGCTCACAGGGCCTGGAGCACCAGCCACTCTTGGCACAACCTCAACACCTGGACACAGCCTCTGTCCCCAAACTCAAATTATGCTTTGGAAGGCTGAGGCAAGAGGGTCACCACGAGTTCGAGGCCAGCCTGGACTACATAGTGAATTCAAGACCAGCCTGAGCTATAGGCTCGAACAAACAAACAAAAGATCCAATCAAGCTTGTGAGATCTTTCTAGGAAATCCAACAGGTAGCCATCATCTGTGGCCTCCATTCCTGGGTGTGAAGGGGGCGCCCCTTGAAGGGAACATGCCTCAGTTCCCTGGCAAGATTCAACCCAACACAAGGAAAACTTCTAGATAGAACTTCTTTTACGAGCAGGATGGGCCAGAACCCTAAACTCATGGTTGCGAATCTCCGGCCATCAGGTACTTGAAGGTCAAATTCATGGCTCCCCCTGTCTCTCCTCGCTGCTTCCTTCTTGGACCTGCAAGTATGTGCTTCCCCTGCCTGGAATCATTTCCTCCCCAATGAGCAAACTCCTACACCTTCTTCAAAACCCAGTTTACACATCACCTCCTCTGTAAAGTCTTTTCCACTCTTCCCAGCCTGTTTCCCTGATGCTCCAACATGGTAGCTCCTTTCTCAGCGTTGCTTCGTTGTGCCACGCAGGATAATTTCCTGCAGTCCAGTGACCAATCAGCCATGCACCACCTACCTTCCTCGGGGCTCAGCCTGCACTCCAGCGGAGACTGTTCCTGCTGCACTGAGGTGCTGGGGTGGCTATAACAAAATGACCATAGGCAGAGAGGCTTATAAAACCAGAAGTTCGTTTCTGGTAGCTCTGGATGCTGAAAGTCCAAGACCAGAACATCGGCAGATTCTGTGCCTGGCAGCAGCAGCCCCCTTCCTAGCTTCCAGATGGCGATGTCTAACTGTGTCCCCCATGCTCAGGAAGGGACAGGGAGCTGCCCAGGAGTTCCTCACCCCGGTACTGAGGATTGAAGCCTGGGCCTTTGCACTGAGCTACATCTCCAAACCTTTTATTTTTTAATTTTGAGACAGGCTTTCATTAAGTTGTTAAATTACTCAGACCAGGCTGGAACTTGTGATCCTTCTGCCTCAGCCTTCCAGAGTGCTGGATCATAGGCATGCACCGCCATTCTTTATCAGGGTGCTAGTCCCATTCAGAAACGCTGCATTCTGGTGGATATTTAAATAGCATCACATCTGGGGATTAGAACTCTTTTTTTTTTTTTTTTTTTTTTGTCTTTTTCCTTTTTATCGGTACCAGGGATCGAACTCACGACTGCCTGCTTCCAAGGCAGGTGCTTATGCTGCTGAGCTAAATCCCCGGCCCCCCTCTTTTTTTTTTTTTTTTGAGTCATTATGGAGTTCAGGCTGGTCCAGGCTGACCTCACACTTGCAGGGATCCTCTTGCCTCAGCCTCTTGAGTCAGGGATTAGGTTTTAACCTACAAAACTCAGGGAGACACAACAATCAGACCACAGCCCTGAGCACTGTCCGAGGGTTGGCACCATTTCAAGACCCAGGAGCCTCACCTCATCAAAGTCCTCATCCTGGTGGAGAAGCCCGGGTTGGCCTTCAGACCACAGGAGGTACTGCTGCCCATCACGGAATGAGACTCGGGCACCTCTGGCCTGGATTCAAGGGTCAGCTGACACATGAGGTGCAGAGTGGGTTGGAGATGTGGCCGAAGTGCCCTTTTCCCTGGGGACAGTTCGCAGTCCTCTTCGGGTTCACTAGCACCCAGCGCCACAGCAACCTACATCCTGCACCAGGACACAGGATCTGAGGGGAGAGACCATCCTGGGCGATCCTGGCAGCACATGCCTATAATTGGGGTCCAGGCTCCAACACAAGGGACCCTAAGCCATGCAAGTGTCATAGAGTGAGCCTCAGAGACAAGATGACTTTTTTTATGTTTTGTAATTTTTAAGTTTACATGTAGTAATTGTATCTGTGTGTGTATGTGTGTGTGGTCCTGGGCCTTTGCTCTGAGCTATCGCTCCAGCCCTTTTTACAATTTGTTTCTGAAACAGAGTCTCTTTCGATCCTCCAGCCTCAGCCTCTCAGATTGCTGGGGTCACAGGCTGAGAAGGGTCTCCATGGCCTTGAGCATTGAAGCCAGGGCCTTTGCACTGGGGTCAGAGGTATGCACCGCTATGCCAGCCTGAGAAGGGTCTCGTGGCCTTGCTTGGGCCAGTGTCCTCTAAAGGGTCTCACTAGCTTTCCAGACACAGCTAGCGTCCCTCCCCCAGTCCCACCCTCGAGGTTGGTGCACCCAGAAGTCGGCCTTGGTGCCCACCCTTCCCTCCCAATGCCCGCCCCCCACCCCCAGCATGCTCCTCTGTCTCACAGTCACTGACACAGCTAGAGTACTGTGATGCCAAGTGCCTCCCTGCACGTGTCCGACATCTGTCCCCTCCTCCAGCTGAAGGCCTGGGGAAGGCAGGATCTGGTCTCTACTCCCTGGGGACCCTCAGCATCCTTGGGGCACTGGCAGCAGGATCCTCTTCGGGTGCCAACATCCCCAGAAGCTGAGGTCCTTATGCAGATCGATGTGGCATTGGTGAGTCACCTGCGCCCAGTCCCCTGAGAATCTACTGTCTTGGGGCTGCTGAGACCCCCTGACACAACACATTGTCGTGAAGACCTGGGCTGGACCATGCCGTTCCTGCTCCCGCTCCCTCCCCAGGGCGCGGGACCTGCCAGACCAGAAGTGTTTGAATTCCATTTTCTTCTTTCAGAGTTTGGAATATTTGCATATGCCTAAGGGGGTACCTTGGGGAACAGATTCGGGCCTAAACACAAGACTCTCTTGCTTCATAAAGCCTTATGCACATAGCCTGTAGGTAATTTTACACTGTGTTCTTAATAATAATATAAATGGAGCAAAGCTTAACAGTGGGGATTTTTCATGTGAAACACAGAGCTCAAAAGTTTAAGATGCTGGTAAGATGATACGTCAGGAAAAGAAAAACTTGTATAAATATTTTAATACTAAATTTATTGAGACATTGTGAGATGAATACATGTTGCATTTGGTCTCTACAATTACAAGAGGTGCTCATAGTGGTGGCCGTTAGCTCCCAGATTTTCATTACTATGGTGAACTGCTGAATTTGTGTGTATTTTTTGACAGAATGTGTAGGTTCACATTTTCATATATTATGGTATTGTAGTCAGGGTTTGTAAGGGAATAGACTTAATACAGGACATATAATATATAGAATTTTATAATATTCACCCAAAAAGCTAGGCATGGTGGCACATGCCTATAGTTCTAGCACTTGAGAGGCTGAGGCAGGAGGAACCTTGCAAATTCGAGACCAGCCTGGACTGCAAAGTGAGCCCAAGACCAACCTGAACTTTACTGTGAGACCATGTCTCAAAAAGACAAAACAAAACAAAACCCTCAAAACAAATAAATTCACCCAGTCAAATGCAGAAGAGTAAAAGTGATCTGTCCATGCACGAGAGACCAAAGGATCAACTAAGGCCCCGGATCCCATGGCAATGTCCTCCATGAGTTCAGCTAGAGGCCTGGAGCCCCCGACAATGTCTCATGTGAGTCTGTATCAAGGATCTGCACTGGGAAGGCCCAAAGGTCAGCGTGGAAGCTAGAAAGTCTGCACCAACAGGATGAAGGATCAGTGCCGGCAGGCTGAGGGATCTGCTCTGGAGCCAGGAAGCCACACTCAAGGTAAGGCCAGAGCTCCCCCAATGAGAACCACAGCCATCCTCAGAGACAGAGATGACCCGAGCTCCTCCAGCGATGAGAACAACTTTCATATCAGGAGAGCCAGTGTGACAAACTTTTCCAGGAGAATCAACAGCGCATTATCTTCCTCTCCGGTTCCCTTTTTATGCTGTTGGCAAAAATCCTTTCATGTCCAGAGCCACGCTGATTCAGTTCAGCTGGGTGTTATAAACTGACCATGAGTTAATCCACCACATATGGCCTGAGGTGACAAAAATATGGTGAATATGTAAACTTTTAAAAATGTATTGTAACCAGGTATGGTGGTGAGTGCTGTAATCCCAGCACTTGGGAGGCTGACGCAGGAGGATCACTGTGAGTTTAAGGCCAGCCTGGGCTACAGAGGCAAGTTTAAGGCCAGCCTGCACTGTACTACACAGGGAGACCCTGCACTGCTCAGGTCTCAAGAAAACAAGAAAGAATGAAGGAAAGAAAGAAAAGAAGAAAAGCAAAACTGGTCCTCACTGTCGCTGAGGATGGCTGTGGTTCTCTTCAGGGGAGCTCTGGTCCTTACCTTGAGTGTTGCTTCCTGGCTCCAGGGCAGATCCTCAGCCTGCTGGCACTGACCCTTCATCCTGCTAAGAAAAGAAAAAAGTAAATGACACATTGCAATAAATCACCCTCCAAATAGCACCCCCTCAGCAGCCAGGGGTATGACTCAGCGGCACAAGCACCTGCCTGGCAAGTGCAAGGTTCTGAATTCGATTTCGGTACTGAAAAGTAAGTACAAACTGTGCCCCTCAAATAGAACACACTTACCGTTCTTGTCACTTTCTGAAGCAGGGCTGCAGCCCTCTGTCATGTGTCTTTAACTGCTTTGCTGTGGCTGCCTCAGTGTCTTGAACTGATTCAAATGTTTTCCCTTCCCAGTCATTTCGGGTTTGGGGAAGAGCCGGAAGTCGCTCAGTGACAGATCTGTCCTAAGGTGGATGAGGACATATTGGCATCTTTTCACTTGACAGAAGCTGCTGTAAATATCTGTGTGTGGTTGTGTGTGTCTGTGTAGAGAGTAACACTTGATATATGTGTGCATACTCTGTGTCTGTGTGCACGTGTGTGTGCGCACAGAGATACAAATACAAGGCACACACCCAGGGCTGGGGTTACAGGTCATTTTCACGAGCCCTGGGTGTGATCCCAGTACTACACACACACGCACACACACCTTGAAGGCAGTTGAGAGCCGACACGGGAACACGGAAGCACTTGTTTTCCTGGCCGAAGCACTCTTACTCATGGGCTCATCCCCTCCTTGGGTTCCAGAGGTGGGCAAGGCAGGAGCTGTGAGTAATCTCATCACACAGCTGAGGACTGGGCCCGGCAGGGAGGGGGCCCTGCACTCCATGCAGGGTCGGCAGAGCTGGGGGTCAAACTGGGTCTCCTCACACCTCACACACAGACACTGCTCTCTCTCCACACACACTTTTTTTGGGGGGGGGCACAGTATTTTCCCTCAACCCAGTATCTTTATTTTATTTTGTTTTGTTTGTTTTTTGAGACAGGGTCTTGCTATGCAGCTCAGGCTGGCCTTGAGCTCACTTTGTAGCACAGGCTGATCTCGAATTCATAAGGATCCTCCTGCCTCAGCTTCCTGAGTGCTGGGATTATAGGCCTGTGCCACCACACTCCACTCAGTGTCTTTACTTTAAATGGGTTTGTGCTACAGTCTCTATTCTGTAAATTATCCTAAAATTTATTCACTGCACATCAAACTCCACCGGATGTACAGTGAGCAGTTGGCCCCCTTTCTACACCCGGACACACCCCCACCCCACCCCCACTCCCACACACACCCCTGACTCCCACCCCTGGCCGAAATTTGCTTTGCTAACAACCCTGACACTCTGGAGTCTCCAACAGCATGGTCAGCCTGCAGGGGGCGCACTCATACGCGTCTCCTTGGGTACACACGGGACTCTTAGCCAAGAGTAAAGCCGCAGAATGACAGGGCTTAAGCACCCATGATCCACTAAATACTGCATGCTGGTTTCTAGCAGCACAGCAGGGGTCACAGAGCTCCTGAGGCCCGCCTTTGCCAAGAACCTTTGGTGACAAGAGGGGGAAACAAGGGACACAAGGCACAGACAGATTCCAGGCCAGAGTGCGGGCACAGCCAGCCTGTGGTGCAGGAGGTGTGGTGGTGTGGAGTGTGGCAGTGCTAGGGCTTGGTGACCGATGATTTGACAGTTCAGCTGGTTCAACCCCTGGTATTGCAGAAGAAAGTAAATCAATAAGTAAATCAATATTTAGGTTATAAATTCATATTTCAAGGAGGGGCAGTGATCCAATGAATGTACAGGATAAAAAGTAACTGCAGGTCAATCGCTGCCCGGACTGGGTCAGGTCTGTGCAGTCTCCCCCCAGCCACCCCACCATCCCTTCCTTCATCCTTAGTCCTTGGCCAAGGCCGCACACAGATTTGTGGCCAATAGCTGGTTTGGGTTTTCATTTTTGGGGTACTGGATGTGGAGCTCAGGGTTCACCCATGCTAGGCAAGCACTCTGCTGCTGAACTAAATCTCTGTCTATTTTTGTTTAGAGACAGGGTGCCTCTTCGTGTTTGTTTTTGTTTTGAGAGAGCGTCTTACTCTGTAGTCCAGGTGGGCCTCAAATTCACAGCAATCCTCCTGCCTCAGCCTCCCTAGTGCTGGGATTATAGGTTTGCACCACCACATCCAGCCGACAGGGTCTTTCTTGCTAAGGCTTCTTGCCAGGCTGATTTTGAAATGGTCCCTCAGGTATCTGGGATTATATGCATGTGGCACCATGCCCAATAGCTTTTCATTTTCTTTCTTTCTTTCTTTCTTTCTTTCTTTCTTTTTTACTTTCTGTACCAGAAATCGAACTCATGATCTTGTGCTTGCCAGGCAGGCGCTGTGCCACTGAGCTATGTCCCTGGCATTCATTTTCATTTTTAAGACAGGGTCTTTCTATGTAATGCAGGCTGGCCTTGAGCTTGCAAGGATTCTCCTGCCTCAGCCTCCTGAGTGCTGGGATTACAGCCAGGTGCCACCTGACCTCCCATTACCGTTGGACTGATAAAGTGGCCTTTCTCTGCTCTGTGGGTCTGCCCAGATGGCCTTGGCTGGCATCCACTCTACAGCTCTAAGCTGGCTTCTGAGCAGGGCCCCATCCTCCTGATCCTTCTCCAGATGTGGGGACCACGTAAGAGGAAAGGGTCCTAGGCCTTGGTAAAGAATCTTCCCTGGGACCCACCCTGCTGTGCACCATTGGGTGACTCAAGGGCCCGGTGTCCCCCACCCACAGGGCAGGCAGTAGAATCTCCCACAGGTCCACCCAGCGCCGTTTACCAAACACAGGCCCAGCCCCATGGCAACTGCCACACCTGTGCTCAGAAAGGCACCCGACAAACTTGTGCCTTTGAGCGGAAAGGGCCCTTCCCACACCCTGGGCACAGAGGCCCGGCCCAGGGACTAGGGCTGAGTCTGGGCAGGCAGCGATGCCCGATGACCCAGACCTTCTAGGCTCCTCCAGCTTGGCCCCTGGGCCTCTCCCCAGAGCTGTTGGAGCTTTTTGGGCACTGAGGGCAGTGGGGAAGACCAACAGTCTCTGGCGGTTCAGCCCCTCCCGGTCCTGCGTGTGTAGTTCTCAGAAGTAGATGCTAAGGACCGAACCCAGGGCCTTTGCAATGAGCCACATCTCCACACATGCTCCTTGTTTTGAGGTAATTCACTAGGTTGCCCAGACTGAGCTCAAATTTGTGATCCTCCTGCCTCGGCCTCCCAGACTGCTAAAATTACAGATGCATGCCACTGTCTCCAACTAAGGGTCTATTTTCTAAACTTTCTCTCTTTTGGGTTGTGTGTGGTGCTGGGGATCAAACCCAGGAACTTGTGCATACAAGGTGAGAGTTCTACCCCTGAGTGACATCCCCAACCCTCATTTTCTAGGTGCCAAGGCTCTTGTGGATGTGGGCTATGGGCAAGTGCTCTACAGCAGTTGAAAAAGGCTGAGAATTTTGTCCACTCATGCTTTCCATAGGGAGTCTAGAGCTCATGTTCTGAGCCAGGCACTGTGGCTCCTCAGAAAACAGGAACCAGGTCCTGCCCTTGAGGAAGGACAGCCTTGGACAGAAATGAGAGGACGGCAGGTGGTGATAGTGTCTTGGTCACTCCTCTCATCACTGAGACACAATATCTGGCCCTCACAACTTAGAAGTTTATTCTGGCTCATGGGTTTGAGGGGTTTCAGTCTGTGGTCAGCTGGTCCTAAAACACAAACAGCACTGTAGAAGGGTCTAGTGGAAAAAAGTTGCTCACATCATGGAGGTCACGAAGCGGCAAGAGAAGGGGGCCGTGGGGGAGGGAGGCAGACCCTTTCGGGTTACACAGCGACCACCTCTAACGAGGCCCCATCTCCTAATAGCACATTCAGTATGGTGCCCCATGACCCAGTCTCCTTCCGAATGCTGGAGGCGTTGGGGGGGACACCCAGGTCTAAGCCATAGCATACAGGCTTCGAGGAATCGAGTAGGCTCTGGAGGTGAGAGTCATCAAAGCGGGGTTTCTTAGGCAAGGAGACCCTGGAACCCTGACAAGGTTACATAAGCGGGTCCCAGATGAATCAGAAGAGGCAGATCCATGGAGCAACCCAAGACTGAATAGAGGCTCGGCAGAGCCAAAGGTCCTGGATATGCTGACTGCGGCTGCATAACAAATCCTCCAAAACACTGAACCTTAAAAAAAAACCATTTGATCAGCTGTCACTATTTTGGAGGTGGATGGGGCTCAGCTGGGCAGTTCATCAGCTCTGCACTGTCTGGGCATCTGGGAAGCTCATGGAGTTGCATTCAGCTGTGAGCTCAGCTTTGCTGACATATTTGGGATGGCTGTACAGCAAAGAGCTACTGGGAAAGCATCTCTCTCTCTCTCTCTCTCTCTCTCTCTCTCTCTCTCTCTCTCTCTTCCTCCCTCTTCCTTTGTCTTTCTGCTCATCACTCAATGTTCCATCCTAAGCCTAAATTTCCTTATGTGGCAAAAACAATCCCAAGAAGACAAAAGTATGGCAGAACAAGCCACCATCCAGCCCAGAGGCAAGGGGAGAGAGGGATCCTGCTTTTAGTGGGAGGTGCTGTGTGTGCCCAGGGATGGGCAGATGTGTCCCGGTGCCCATCCTTAGAGCAAACCACCATGGCCCTGAGGAGGGAGCATCTTGGTGGTGGGTTTGCTGGTGCTGGCAAAAGTGTTCCTGCAGGTGAGAGGCAAGGGCAGTGTGGCAAAGACCCTGTCTAAATTGATCTGCCATCCTGGCTTGTGCAGATCTTAGCTTGAAACAAGGACTCCATGGCTCGAAGTTTCCAAAGCTTCTCTGAGGTTCTGGAGGCCTTTGCACTGAAGCCTGAGTGACGGACACTGGCTACTACTGTGGAGACAGAGGGAAGCTAAGTCCTACAGTCACCCAGCAGCATCCTGCCCCTGCCCATCGGAGACACTGTCCCCCAGGCCTGTGTCACCCCAAACCCGGGGCTTGCCCCTCCCTGCCTCTCACTCCTCCTTCTTAGACTCAGCTTGCTCCGCCCCATTGGGAAGTCCCAGGTGTCGCTCAGCTACTTGTGGTGGCTTTGGGGCCTCCCAAGCTTTGCCCAGGCCACCGTTCCTATTTGGTTTAGACCAAAAACGTCCCCCAAAGTCTGTGTTCCGAGGTGGGGACTTTAGAAGGTAGTTGGGTCAGGGGGCGCTATGCTGATCAGTGCCTTTCTCCAGTAAGGAGTGCAAAGCTGAATCACAGCTCAGGAAGGGCAGGCCTTCCTCCGGGCTTTGCTGCCTGGCCACCATGAAGTGAGCACCTTGCATCCGCCCAGGCCTCCCCACCATGATCTTTCTACTTCTGAGTCAGCCAACCATGGACTGAAGCTTCTGGAACTGTGAGCCTAAGTAAACCTCTTGCTTTTAAAGTGTGACTGTTGGGTATTTTGTCCCAGCAATAAGAAAGTGGCCAAGACACTGTGTTACCCTCCAAACCTGAAGTGGCTTCCTGAGCAATATAGGAATCCAAGCAGCCGAACTGGTAAATTTAGAATTGTATTAGCTGAGCTCAGCAACCACCTGTGGACCCCGGTTTCAGTCCAAATGAACAGCCCTGAACTGGAGGGTTACAGGGCATTCAAAGCAAAAAACTGCAAAGCAAGACATCCTGCTAGAAACAGTTTAGCTAGAATCTTACATTAATTTTTGGTTGACACCTGTATTGCTTCTTTGTTGAGCAGGTTAATGTTTCTCCTTTGGGTGCAGCTCATTCTGCTTTTCTCATGGGACTTGTACCCTGAGTAATTTTCCACTTTTCTGGGTCAAATACAAAGCACAAAACGGCATTAGTTGTGCCAAACTATGATATTCCCCTAGTTCCACACCTCCTCAGCCCAAATGACTGAGCCCCTCAACACATCCACAGCGATGTATGATTCCCTCTTCTCCTCTACCCTCCAGCTCAGGGCCACCACCTCCAGGACGCCCGCTGGGGACCTGCCCCTAGGCTGGACCAGCAGGCACAATCCTCCCCTCTGCAGTGGGCTTCCTAGGCCAGGTCCCATCCCGGTCCCCAGCTATGCCTGGCTCGAGGCCCTGGAGGAAGAGGCGCTCAGAGGTGTCAGATGTTCTGACCTCACTCCCAGCCACTACCCATCTGCCCCTGCCCTGTGGATCCCAGGCTGAGCCACAGGCAGGGCTGGGAGTCCCAGGGTGCATGAAACGCACTTGGGGACTTTGGGTTGCCTCTGCC